AAAACGATGAGATCAGCGAGAATAATGGAACCTATGAGATAAGAAAAAGTGACAAAATTTATGAAAAACAAATCTCAATTCGAATTCTTCCGCTCGTCCATATTTTCGATTTTGAAAATTTCTTGTTTATCATAGTTTCCGGTTTTAGATAAGATGGATATTCTTTATGAAATGAATGTTGATTTAACTGAAAATAGGAGTTTTTGATTTTGTGATGTCGATAATGAACTTACTTGAGCCATTTGAATATGATGTCCGTACTCAAATCTTCGCAAATCCAAATAAATTCATTAGAGCAGTTATTTTATAAAACAAATCCCAAACTTTTGAATCGTTTTAATCGGGTCATGACACATTCGGTTGAGAGCCTGCAATTTCACGCATGTTTCTTTGTCCACCAGACTTTCGAAAACTAACCTATATACGGTAAGACGCAGTTTCCGGAAGTAAGGCCTTCTGGACTTGTTTAAATTGAGCTCACTATCAGAGAAATTTATCATCTCTTTTTTTCTTGTTTTTTTCGGTGATCCCTTGCATCGTTTTTACTTTATCCTTTAAGCTAAAAAGGCAAAAATTATCTTACCTGCAGAGTTTTCTCTGAATTTAAAATCTTCAAAACCGTCGTATTTTTGTCGATTCATAGAATTACTGTCTTCCATAGAAGTCGTATATATAAATTGAACTTTGAATAGTCAGCTGTCCCTGCAAATGCATCAATTCATATTCCGTTTCAGAGGTGCAAGTGGATTTCTATTCAGCTGTGCTCCGAAAACAAGCTCCGAAGCTGTGGGCAGCTCGATGGGGGCTTGTTCGAATCCGTGGATGTACCAATTTTATCAGCTGAGGAAGCGGTACACCTTGTCAATGATCATCAATCGGTGAGTGGATGATGTTCATTATTTTAGTTACATTTCGAAGCAAGTTGCGGTCGTTGGCGCGCCCATCGATGCTTTCCAATAGAATGTTCAAAAATTGAATTGGGGATTAGTGGGTGGAAAACATATATAGTAACAAATTTCAGGTTGTTGAAGAAACGATTCCACTTTTCCTACTGCACCTGAAACCATGCAAGGTAGGAGGACCAGAAGAGGAGCAGCAGCAGCGGTTGTGCTGCTTGAAAAAAATCAATGATTCATCAATTTACATTGCAATTTTCTGAAAATTCAATTGCTGTATACTATAAACTTGAACTTGAACTATGAACTTAACATTTTCTTGAAATATACAAAAGAAGTGGAATTGAATATATTCAAATATATTCAAATATATATTCAAAGAATCAAAGAAACCGTGATGTACCCATGGTTACTCAACTTCCAGACATTCCAGAATTCTCGAATCGATTTGTGAATTTATATTTACCACAGCAAAAGGGGCGGAGCCAACTACGTAGAATCCGAATATGTAACTGTTTTCACTGGAAAATCTACAAGAAAAAATAAAAAGACGAAAAACAAAAGTTTCCGACAGAAAAATGCCTAGTAAAGTTTGATGGAAGTCGGTAACGCACAATTTTTTGTTGTCTCCAGTAGCTAAAGACTTTTTCTAAAAGGAAATAATAACGAAATTTTCAGAAAAGTTGCCCGAAAAATGTACATTTCAGCCAAACTGGCAGTAAATATCGTGAAAATTTTTCAGCGACAACCTATAAAAATTATGTTTCCAATAGATAATACTACTTTTGAACTTAACAAAGACAAATTTTGAACAAAATTGGAGCATCAGAAAGTATTTTAGTTTTAGTCGAAAGCTGACATACTCATTGAAATACGCGCCCGTAAATCTACGGAATGGGGCATGGGGGTTTTCCCCAGAATGGGGCATGAGGGGTTTTTTTTCCGACTTTTCGGACTTTTTTCTCCCTTCCAAAAATCTGATGCCTCGAGCGAGGATCGAACTCAGGTTGATCGTTTCACACAGGGCTGGGAAAAATGAACGCCGGCGGCGCGGCGGCGGAAAAACGGCGGCAAATTTTAGGTGTTTCGCCGGCGAACGGCGGCGGCCGCCGGCGTTTTTATGCGCACTACGGTAGATAAAAAGTTGTGCAGTCCGCATTTATTCGTTTCCACACATCTCTTTTTGGCTAATTTTTGTCATTTCTCTCAAAAAGTTTTCTTTTTTCAATAAAAATGGAAGAAATCACAAACATTATGCTTTGAAAGTGATTAGTAGAGTAGTGGAAAGCGTTAGAGCTCGAAAAGTGAATAAAAATCGAAATATTTCAAAAAGTGGAAATAAGATGATTTAATGGTTGATCTGCTTGAAAACATGTAAACTTGTTTCAAAGTCGAAATCAAGGTTATGAGATGCAGAAAATTTGTTTTAAAACATTTTCCTCAATTTTTAAACTTATTATTTACTTTGTATAAATTTTATTAAGCTCTATACGGATGGCAGCGGTCAGATGAGACAAGAAAATATTTAAAAAATCTCGTTTCTCATCTCAAATCTTGAATTTCCCCCTGATTTCATTTTTTTTGTAATGCTAAATTTCGGTTCAAGGTGCAGACACTTTAGAGGTCAACAGGTCTCACCGCGACCGGGGGAGAAGAACGGGCGCCGCCTGTCTGTCTGTCATTCTACGTGTCTTTACGTGCAAGTGGTGCTTGTTTCGTAAGAAACGTGTGTTTTTCGTCGTCTTTTGGTCGTTTTTTTGGCGAGAATGAGAACGCTCTGGCGAGAATGAGAAAAAAGAAAGAAGTGAAGGTTCCTGTGATCAATCAGAAAGGATACGAAATGCAGGCCGAATTCAATGTAAAGTTGATGAATCTGCTGAAGAAAGGTCAAGGATCAGGGAATGTGGATGAGGTGCTCGAGAAAGCGTTGGATCTTCTGAAGAACCGAAATCAACAGCTAGTTCTCTTGGACCAAAATCCGGAGGCTTTGAAGCAAGTTGAGAGATGGAAGGCTCTTTCGGAATTATCAGGATCGTCTTTTTCGGCTTCGGATGAATCACGTTTGTTCGCTATGGCATCTCTGCTGTCTAAAGAGGCTCCGAGTTCGTCGAGAAGACAGGCTCCTCCTCGCCAGTTCTTTCGAGGAGCGGATTTCGGAGGAAGGCACTCTGAAATTCGACGTTTCTCGCCCGCCTACCCGTACCAAAATGGCCAGCTCAGAAGACCTCAGCAAGATGTCAATGTGGGAAGCAATTTTGAGAAAAGAGCAAGAGTTCAATGCTTCAGTTGCAAAGAATTCGGACATTACGCCCCCGAGTGCCCAAACAGAAGGTAAGGTTAACCCAGTGGGGATGGCTAGTAAGGCTGAATTTCGGGAACAAACATTAGCTAGCCCCTGGATTCTAGAAGTGATTAAAGGTGGGGGGACAGGAGATTTTTCGTAGTTTTTTTTGTAGCTAGAGTATGCATTCTACCGTCACGGTGTACAACGCTTAATGTCACTCTGCGTACAGCTGTCGTCCTCGCCTTTATGTATGCAATCAGGCGTGCGCTTTCTCTTTGCTCTCGTGGCTCAGTCGGTAGCGGCGCCGCACCCTCAATCATCGCCCTCACAAGTTCAACTCCTCGAGGGGCATCTTTGAACGGAATTTCGAGAACATTATTTTTTTCATGTCCCCCCCACCTTTAAGAAGGATTTTGAGATTAGGTTATTGAGATTAAGTTAGATTTGGTTATATTTCACAATTTTGAGCTTCCCCGACCTTTAAGGATTAGGAAAACGTCAAAGAAGTACGAGGTTTTTGTTCATGAAGAAGTTGCGAAGTTATTAGAAGCAGGAGTAGTAGTTCCCACGGATAAACCGTTAGTTTGTAGTCCCCTTCATGTAGCTGATAACGGAAAAAAGTTGAGGCTTATTTTAGATTTGTCAGGTCTTAATAAGGGTTTGAGTGTCCCCAAGTTTCGGCTACTAATACAACGCCACCTAAACCGCCAACTTTGAGCTCATGTATCTCCTTTTCTGTGAATGCTATCAAAATGTAGTAAAATAACAAAATGTTGCTGATATTATGATAAACGTTTTGTCAGTTTATTACTTTCTGATATCGTTCACAGAAAATGAGATATATGGGCTCAAAATTGA